TTCCGTTATTGGGGAAAAGACCTGAAAGGAAAGATGGGGTTGAATGTAATTTGTTGGATCGACAAGTTCTGGGGGTTATTTGATTGACCTTATCGAGGTCCGTTGCACACAGCGTCGTCAAGGAGAGGACGACTACAGATCTCGTGGCAGCCTTATCAGGTATGTATAAAAAGTCATCGGCGAATAACAACATGTACTTGATGAAGAAGTTATTCAATTTGAAGATGGAGAAATGTGTTTCTGTTGCTCAACACCTAAATGATTTCAATACTATCACAAATCAATTTCAACTATTATTGTCAGTTGAAATTGATTTTGATGATGAGACACGTGCGCTGATATTGTTGGCATCATTGCCAAATAGTTGAGAAGCCATGAGGATGACAGTTAGCAGTTCTGCAGGTAAATCTACACTGAAATGTGATGATATTCGTGATTTGACTTTGGTTGAGTAGGTGTGCAGGAAAGATTCTGACGATATCTCGGGTTTAAGTTCGACATTGAATGTTGATTTCAGTGGGAGATGACAGAACATAAACTCAAATAGAGGGAGATCAAAATCAAAGTCTGGTAAGTAGGCAACCTTCTAGAATTGTGGCAAGGCTCGCCACATAAAGAGGAACTGCAGAAATCTCAAGAAGATGAAGAATGATAATGCAAATGTGGTATCTGAAGAAGTACAAGATGTATTATTGTTGGTAGTTCATAGTTCTGTTTATGATGGAAGTGAAGAGGAGAGTGAGTTTGGTGCACACATTCCTATTGTTCCACCGACAGATGGCGGAGAACCACAAAACAATGAAGAAATCTTGCAAGATGAATGTTCGAGTAAGTGGGAGCTGATAGAACTTGCATCAGGGAAGAAGACATTACACAAAAAGTGGGTGTACCGGGTGAAGACTGAGCGTGATGGAAGTAAGAGGTACAAGGCTAGACTTGTTGAAAAAGGCTTTTAGTAGAGGGAGGATATTGTTCATGCAGTGAGAGTTGTAAGCAGAGATAAGGGTAACCCAGGAAATAACTTAGAGGTGCAAAGCTATGTTGACCCTGCTGATATGTTGATTGAGGGTGTTACTCTTGAGAAACTGAAGTTGTGAACAACTTTAGTTGGTCTTCTGGTGTGAAGATAGACGTTTTGAGTTGCAGAGGTGGAGGATTTATGTTTGAAGAAAAAAGCTACGCTGCCAATGGAGGATGTCATTTTGAGCAAGAAGATGTTGTGGTCTGTGTACCGGTCTCCAAGTGGGAGATTTGTTGGATGGAGCTCAATCAGGTTTGCCTGATCCCGTCATCCCGTTCTATCGCGACACGACTCCCGCTCACGATTGAGGAAAGTCACGACTCCTGATGTTCACGAATCGACACCGCTCTGCACCTTTAAGTCGTGAATAATAGCCTCCTCTCTTCCTCTGGAGTGTGATCAACTGCACGACCTTTTTGTGTTCTTCTTCGGGCTTCCTTAGGATAGAGGAAGAGAAGTGCAAGTGTAGTTCCTTGCGGCAGAAGGTTGAAAAAAGAATAAGAAGAAGATTGTTTACCCTTCGCTTCTTCTTGGTGGCTTGTGACAGAAGAAAAATTGAGTTTATTTCTCTAGTAAGTTTATCTTCATCAGTGTATCTCAGTGTAGAGAGAGAAGAAGAGAGGAACGAAGTGAGAGATCCCTCTTGTAAGTCGAGACGATCAACTGGTTTAAATTCCTCAAGTAGTAAAATCCTCTGCAACTCCGTGGACTTAGACAATTCGTCGAACCACGTAAATCTGTGTGTTCCGTTGTGTTACTATTTTATTGTGTGAATTTTCTCGTTCTATTTTTTCACTTCGTCAAAGATCATTCTTCTATTTATTCTATATATATACCACAACACTTCATTGTAGAGTATTTAGGATAATTCACTACCTAATAGAGTCCACTAACTAAGGCGAGCAAGGGGTGGTCGGTGGTGGTCAACGGTGGTCAGTAGTTATGGAGGTCGAGATTTATTGTGGGAATGCAATCGAGAATAACACTAGAAATTGGCTCATTCTTCTCCCTCTCTTTTCTTTTTTCCTACCCCTCCAAGTAAAGAGAGATGATCCATTTATAGGCCTTAGAGGAGAGAAATTTTAGTCATTTGTTGAATAACAATATGATTGAAAGGCTTATGTTTGATCATAAGAGATTTTTTCATAATCTGATGACCTTAATAATCTCGTAATCAAGGGAGCTTAGTGTCACACACCTCCATCTAAAGAAAGGGTTAGGAACATCATTTTTGTTATAAGAAAGAATATTTTAGAGAAGTCTTGAGAGAAGTAGAATAATCTAAGAGACTCTAGAAAATTCCACTGCATTCTAGACAATGTTAGAAGGAAATGCTTCAGGGAGGAATCAAGAAAAACCTAGAAAGCTCTATAACTATGTACATATGTAAAAGAGCAATGTAGAACTATCTAGAAGTTAGTTTTTTCTAATGTAATATAGAAAGTTCCTAAGGCTTGGAAGAGGACAATAAATTGGTGTTCCTCCCCCTCATTTGTATCCATCCAAGGTTTCTAAGCAACTAAAGTGCAATCTTCTATTCCTTAATGAATTGTTCTTTTCTTCAAAACTTTTTCCCTACTTCTTCCTATAAAGTATTTGGTGCTTACAAGTCCAAGCGCTGTAATTCTTAGGCTGATTTAATACTAAGAAAGAGTGTTAAATCTGCACGAGAGACATAAGAGTAGTTTGACTGTGATAGTTGTCATGCATCTCAATCTCAAGAGATGATGAGCAACACCCTTTTTTCCATAAGAAAGAATATTCTATAGAAAACTAGAAAGAAAGAGAATAACCTAACAAACTCCAAGAGATTCCACTGCATTCTAGAAAACGTTAGAAGGGGTGCTTCAAGAAGGAATCTAGGATAACCTAGAAAGCTCTACAATTATGTACATATCTACAAGAGCAATGTAGAACTATCTAGAAGTTGATCTTTTCTAATGTAATTTAGATAGTTTCTAAGGATTTAGGGAGAACTATAAATAGGAGTCCCTCCTCCTTATTTGTATCCATCCGAGATTTCTAAGTAACCAAGTGTAATCTTCTATTCGTTAGTGAATTGTTCCTTTTCGTCAAAACACTCAAGTTGACCAAAAACATGCAAAATTTGGAGTTCATTGAACTCTCTCATCACCTATCCAAAGTCTTTAAAAGTGGTTCAACGACTTGATCTGGGTTTGACATTGCTCATATTGAATTAATTTTGATATCATTGGGTCCATCATATCGAACCGATCAATTCGACAACGAGTTTGTTAAAATCGAAGCTCTGAATAATTTTTAGATTTAAATCAAAATGGAATTTGCTAAAAAAATGCTCTGGAATCCGTCCAAAATGCCTCGATATTCATGCCACATGCTAAATTTTGTTTGTTGATGACACATCAATATTACTTTTTTGGGGCATTTACACACATACCGCACAATTTTTATATATTTATATATTTAACATCTAAAAATTCTTATTTCCTAACATACCACTCAATTTTTTAACATCACATAAAAAAAATATCATAATCACTATTTTTTTTAAAAAATAAATTACACTTTTTATGCATAGGATCATGAAACCATGTGTTATGAATATAAATACAAAAAATTGGGTGCTAGATATGAGAATACATGAGAATTGTGTGGTACTATCTTATCACTTGAAATCTTTCCTAATTAATTGAATGAATAAATAATCATTGAATCACACATACTTAACAATCAAAACAAGTGTAACCATAGGAGCAATTCAATGAACTCAAGAGCTTTCAATTACAATATTATTAAGAATATGCACACCTCAATTGATGTAATTTCAACTAAAATTACTATATTATTTCTCTACATTAAACATACTTGAGCCCAAAGAGAACTTAAATGGTTAACAAAATCTCAAAAGCCTTGTCTAACACTCAATATCGCTGGTCCCAACAACAATTGTTGTTGTGCAGTCATTGTAGTCCAATTGTCATCAACTAGTCATCACAGCTCGTCCGCCATCATATTGGCACCATCACCTAACTACTATAACTCGTCCACTATCTCATAACCACCAATGCCTAAGCATCGATGTTCAACCATCGTAATATGATCAAACCATCATGAACCTCCATTATTTCTCCGGCATTCAATAACAATAGAAAAATCTACGAGTAGAGTTTAACCGTATTTTAACTTTACGAGTATCTTATCTAAACCTTACTAAAACGTGATCTGAACCTTATGAACCATGATTTTAACATCACCATAGAAGAATTTGGAATCACAATGGGACTCGATCAAACCCTATTTGTGCATTGTTCGAACGAGGTTCAAGTTGGGCTCGAATAAAATTTGAACAGGGCTTGAGGGATGATCAAATCATATTTGAATATTATTTGAATAAGGTTCAAGTAGAATTGAGATAATATTTGAAATATGCCTTATGCAAGGATTGAGATATATTCATATATGGTTTAGATAATATTCTCACGAGCTTCAGTTGCACTTCAAATAATATTTGATATAATGAAAACTTGGTTCGATCAAGATTTGAATTATATCAAAAAATTTGCTATTTACAAAATGAAGCACTTGATTGTTATTTTTGAATTGCTGAGTCGATGTATTTACGCGTGCTGCGATAAAATCATTGAGAATTTGATAAAAAAGAAACACATTAGTTGAGATTTTATCAATTGTTCTAGGTGCTGTATGTAATCACATCCTCCTACTTTTTTTTTTTTAATCTAAGTGACTTTTTATTGAAAAAATATTAAAAATATATCATTATTCTAATCATTGTCTGCCACATGTACAGTTAAAGTCATTTTAGTAAAAAAAATTAAATAATTTAATAAAGGGTGGGGCCATCCTGTATATGTGCCCAGCAGTGAGTGGAGTACTCATGCATTTTTTGCATTAGGAGTCAATCTGTATTTGATAAATCTGAATTTGCAGAATTTAATAAATCTAATGTATAGTTAAATACTGTTTGCACTTTGCAGCCAACCGCCTTTTAGCGCTAGAGGGAAGCGGGCAAACTGTGTGCAGCAAATGGCCGAGGGAGGAGGAGGAGAGGAGTTAAGGCTTGACGGAACTCCGACATGGATCGTCGCCGTTGTTTGCACAATCATTGTGTGCATCTCTCTTTTCTTCGAGCGATTCCTCCATCGCCTTGGCAAGGTATTGATTTGATCGGCTCCTCAGACATCCATTTCTCTGATGAATTTCTAATGATCTCATATTGGCAGCGATTCATGCGCAAGAACCAGAAACCCCTCTTCCAGGCCCTCCAGAAGATGAAAGAAGGCAAGTAACCCTCACCATTGAAATGCTTCTTCTTCTGCTTCTGTATGGATGCTGAGATTGAGAGTTCTAGGGCTTTGCAGAGCTGATGTTGATGGGATTCATTTCGCTGCTATTGGTGGTATTCCAAGGAGCGATTCAGAAGATTTGTATTCCTGAGAGTTTTACTCATCACATGCGGCCCTGCAAGAGCGAAGATCTCGCCGGCGAGGGGAACGGCGGCGAAGCCCGCGGCACCGCCCACTACACCTCCGATTTCTTCGCCGGCGTTCTTGGAGGCGGCCGGAGGCTTCTCGCCGGCGGAGGTTCTGGTACCGAGCTTCAGCACTGTGCTAGAAAGGCAAGTTCAATTCTGTTCATACATGTTTTCCTTTTCAATTTTCATTCTGCTTTGACGAATGCTTCCTTTGGATTGAAGGAAATATAATTACAATAATTAATTTTAAATATGTAATTTTCTTATCTCAAATTTTTAACCCTCTTGCACATTCACAAATTCTGTATTCTTGATATTGATTGTTCTTTTTAATCTGAAAAACTGCGGAGAAAATTAATTATGGTATATTTATTGAAATTCTTGTGAATTATATCAAATTTTTATGATATTCTGTTTTGCGAAATAATATAAAAATTTATGTAAATAATATGATTGAATACTAAAAGCTTCTGATTCCAGATTCCGTGTTCAACACTGTAACTATATTTGGGTTAAAAAAATAGCTTAGAATTTGCTCAACTATGGCTGCCTTTGATTTCCTAGTGGTCCACACGCCACGTTGAACGTGCTCTGTTCGATGTGCCGTCCAGGGTCCATCAAGCGAAACGCGGCGACGGCTTGATGCTGTTTGTCGGCGACGTGGATGATATGATCAAGGGTAGATTTAAGTTTTTGGGATAATTACATAGAGACAACCCAAGACGTTGATATTTACAAAACCCCTCATGTGAATTTTTTGAACCACCGAAACGGTGCATTTAGGTGTGCCACAATCAAACTAGTGGGAATTTGATAAAAAAAAAGATGAGTTGGGGTTTTAATATGAATTTTGATATTGGAAAGAGGTTGGATGATTTGTAAATAACATGTTCCGGGTGGTTGTATGGAATTGTCCCATTTTTGGTATAAATCTGAAAAATCTCAGATTTTTAGAAGTTACTTGAATTGATAAATTTATTTATAAAAACATATGTCACTATCAAATTTTTTATCAGAAGTTCACAATTTGAAGTATAAAAATAGTATCCTGACTATTTATATGGGTTCGTTGTAGTTTCGGATTTTATAAAATTATCATACTAAACCTCAGACTGTAATATTTAAAAAATCCTGGGGGCTATATTGATATTTTTATAGAGTTTGGACTAAATTTGATCATGACAGTCATGCCCATCAATTTTTATTTTCAATATAAAAGTCAAATGAAATACATATCTAATTTTCTTTTTGAAAGAGAATAGTATTATGAAGCACACCAATATTTAAAATAATCTTATGAAGTAATGACCAACGCCTGTTCAAACCACATGCATTACAGAAAAATCGCTTGCAAATACAACTTTACTAAACTACCATCCTGTTTCCGTGGATGCATATAGTAGTTATTTCAATATTTATATTTTATAATTATTCTGATGTGTGGCTGTGGCCTCATCTTTAGAAATGTAGGAAGGTTTGGTGGAAAGTCCATGGGAGCAGGCTTGGACATAGTTGGGCCGGCAAAAGCATTAAAACTTTGTGGATAATTTTGTCTTTGAATCTCATTAGCTTGCAGAGTCAACTTTTGAGGATTTATATGTATAGAATAAAATAACGTTAATTAATTTGACTTGGTCCTACTTCATATGAAACAGTTGATTGGAGAATTCAGATTGTTTTTTGTTATTTTTGTGGACTGAATGTCAGTACCCTTACAATAGAAAACATGCTGACTATTTTCTTTGCAATTGTGCAATTAATTAGTTATGCTAGAGAACATTGAGATTGGTCCCTTATGAATGAAAATAATTTTCTTTTCGTTTTTTGAGCTTATGAATATTATAAATCATACTAAAAGCTCCTTTGGTGGATTTGTAGGTGGGAAATATGTCTTTAAGTCGTAGTTTTATTTTCAATTATTCTAAGCGTGCGAATGAAATTGCTAGTTTTAAGGGCTTTTCAAGTTCTTATTAGTTGAAAAGTGTCAGTTATTTCTGGCTATGTGCAACTACATGATGGAGCTTGAAATTTTTTTTTTCAGAACAGTTTAAATTCAACTGCCCAAAATCTATAGGACAAAATCATTCTGTAAAAATTGATTTTCTTAGTCAATTTTGACATCTCATTGTAATAAAAAGATAAGCTTGCAGTTCGCTAAAATAATTTTGTATTTAAGATAGGACTATCAATTTGAGTTGAAGCTCAAGGATCAATCAAAAATTAAATAATAAATTAAATAAAAACTTTGGCACAATTCAAATTTGGGTTTAAATAAAAAAATCAACTTTAACTTTTATCCATTCCGATTAGAATTGAATTAGGCATGGATCACATCAAGCCAATTTGATATTAGATCTAAATTTAAGGCACACCCCGCCCACCAATTCAAATACAAATATTTTGAACTGCTTCTATGCCAAGATTAGGTCAAATCATCCATAACTTTAGACTATAAATCTAAAAAGTAATGTTGCACTCTCTATATAAATCCACAATTTAAATTGATCGTCTTCATAACTTTTATTCATTACTTATGTGGCCTATTCAAAGAGAGTGCATCTTATATCCACATTACTTGTAGATTGAAGAATCAATAAATCACCATTTTATTTTTCAATTCATTTCTTGCACACCATCATTCCGCCCAGCCCTGTGCTACTCAACCCCATGCCAACAATTGGGCCATCTGTTGCTGTTCCCAATGACATATCCATTTTGTTTACAAGTAGCTTTTTTAAATTATAAAATAAATTAACTTATGTGATATTCAATACAAATAAAAATGGATATTTAATTTTAAGATGCTAAACATATTTTAATTTTATATCAATATGTAGAAACATAAAATAAATTAAATTAAGAAAAAATAAAAACAACAAATGATCCTAAATGACCCACAAGTTTTTTTTTTTTTTTAATTTGGTTTGATGACCTTCAAATTGCGTGCATGAGATTGCAACAAAGTACTAAGATTACTCTTTGCCTTGGTTTGTATGGTTGAATCGTCCAAATACTGCCAAAATTGAGTTCAGAGTGTACAAAGAAAAGGATACTCCTTCAACTTGCTAAAGTGGGCGAGTTCTTCGTTATGGCTATAGTGGTGGCAATCTTTCCTTTAATACTCTTGATCTTTATGAAAAATAGAGTACTATGATGGATCAAAAGCATACATCGATTCATGCATCAGCAATGGCCAATGAACATTTTTCTTGTTGGGTATTATTATATCTACGATCTCTACGAGATACACATGCAGAGGAATATAAGCCATTCACCTAGATTCTAGAAGTCATCACTCCGTTGCTAGTCGCCATAGGTAGAATGCTTATTCTCGCGTCTTAGGGCAGAAACCTTTATGTTGGTGTTGTACTGATGATGATGATGTGACCTCTTAAAGGACCTATCCTTATTATGCCGTGACTTGCTTATGTGATATTGGACACAGTGCTAAGATTCATTTCTAGGTTTGGAATGGTGTGGCTTGTAGGTTGAAGCCAAGGTCATATGATGATTGTACTACATTGATGCGATTATTAAGGAATTCAAGAACTGGGCCAATGTCAGATCAAGAATAGAATGGAAAAGTCCTCCTGGAAGTTCTTGAGTGATGCTTCTTGGTTGACAATGAAGATCTAGTATTTGCAGTGGCAGGGAAAGTGGCTCATTAAGATCTTACTTTTGTTCAGAAGTGCAAAAAAATTTATTACTGGCCTTTAAGCATCGACAAACTAGGTAATAAATAATTGCTTTATCTTGGTGATGGAGGCAATGCTTCTCGAAGGAAGGCAGTGGTGCCTCCTTAAAGGTTGGGAAGAGAAGTATGGACTTTACTGTGCTATTAATTGTCAAATAGGAATAGTTAACAAAGTGAAGAAGGCCATCATTGGAGTCTCGAATAAGAATTAAGTTGTGATTGAGACTGACCTCTGTTATCTTCATTGAAAAAACATTCACATGAGAGTCGATTGAGAAACGTTCTTTAGAGCAACCTACATGGTTCATGTAGTGGTTTCCTAGATCATTCTGGTAAGATGATCTTCAATGTGATTTAGTTGATTAGCGGTGGCATAATGGTTGGGTTGCTAGTTTTGCTCGTACTTTCCTTATACTGAGGAAACTTTATGACCTGGTTCTTAGTTTTTAGCATTTTCACACTTTTTTGCATTTTTGAGGATGTTGGATACAATGTTGTCCATGACAAGTACTAAAACCTTACTACATATATATATATATTGACATCAAAGGAACAAAGATAAATAGAATGAATATTCGGTTTTAAAGATTCTATTTCATGTTTTAAGTTTACAATCTACATAATTTACCTCTCAGCCAAAGAGAAACATTCTGTTAAATAGAGCTTAGAGAGATTTATGAGAGAGAATCTGTCCAAATATCTAGAAAGATTCAATTGAAATAGAATTTTTGCTAAACGTTTAAGATTCTGTCATACCCAAGATCAACTAGTGAATGCTTATTTATATTTGAGGACTGAGGTTGGCAATATAGGATGGCCCACATGACAAAATTTTAAGTTCATAGGTAAGTTTTGCGTAGAAAACTGTGTAGCAGATGATTCCTGCTGGTAGTTTTCTATTTGGAGGGAACTTAAGTTGAATTTAGATAGAGATCAAGTTCTCTTGGAGATCTCTCATTAATAGGCGAGTACTTTTGAGCTAGTAGTTGAGTTTTATCAATGAATAGACTTATCAAATAAACATCTTCATGGATCTCTGACAAGTTCAATAATCGAGTTATGAGGACCAAGTAGGGTTTGTCTCATGGGTATTGAGGAAAGTGGAGATTCGGTCCACTGCAGTTTTGGTAATAATTAAAGGTGTTAATTATGATATTAATTAGCCTTCCTTAATTAACCTGTCGCCAACGCTTCTCTAGATTTCGCGATTAAAGCCAAAAATATGGAGGAGGGATATTCGCAATTAAGGTTTTCCTTAATGGGTCTAAAAGAATATTTATAAATACTTTTGTGTTCACAAGAAGGTGATGAAGCATGCGATTAACCTTACGGAATAATTAAATATCGCATAGTAGCTGCTCCCTTGTCTTGGTCTTTCGGTGCGAAGTTTATGGGGAAAAAGAAAACCGCTTTTCTTTTGTATTCTTCTTCTTCTTGTGTAGCTCTCGGCTTAGAGGGAGGGAGAGAGAGAAAGGTGAGGAGAGAGAGAATTCTTTTCTTATAATCTTCAAGGTGATGGACGGGTGTAAGTCCTCAAGCTAATAAAATCCTTTGCAGCTCCGTGTACGTAGACAATTTGCCGAATCACGTAAATCGGTGTGTTCCGCTGTGTTTTCTGTTTTGTGAATTTCTCGTTCCAATTTTTCGCTTTATTGCTCTCGTTTTTCACAACAATGGGGGACTTAGCATCGTCAAGCTCTCAACAATTTAAGGCATTGGACAAGTTCAAACTTGCGAAATGCCAAGTTTTTTGTGGTGGAGTAGATTCATATTCAATGACTTATGAACTTAGTTTAGGCTCTAATAAAGCTTATCAACCTGATCTAACTAATTGTTGGTTTACACCTATGCTCGAAATTAGATCAATTTTTTTTTTTTTTTGTGTTCAAATATTTTGTCTTGTGAGATGACTTGAAATAATTAAGTAAATTTTCTATTGATTGAAAATTCATTATGTTTCAAGCGATCTTTAAGTTTTAACTAATTTTCACCCTATGATAAAAATTTTTATCAGGATTTCATCACCAAATGTCCATTAGGGCTCTCAGGACATTTACTTAAAACAATATCTATATATTCATATAACCAATGTGTAGCAAATAAGTATTAAATACATTTAGGACTTGTCTATTGAATTATAATTTCTGTAGGATATGATACTTATGACTATCTGCACATAGTAAGAACCTTTTAGCAACCTTTTAGCAACCATTATCTTGGTTTACTACTCAACGTATCTGTGTGTTTGTGTGAGTTATTGAGTCAAAGAATGGTAATTAGGAGAGATGCTTTACTTTGCTTCATTTGCTAAGTCATGCATTGATCTCATTAATTATCTGCTCTATTTTTCCTTTTACAGGGAAAGGTTCCACTGCTATCGATTGAAGCAATCCATCAACTTCATATTTTTATCTTTGTTTTGGCTACAACTCATGTGATTCTTAGTGTTATAACTATGCTCTTAGGAAGTGCTAAGGTAATTAAAATCTACAATTTTGTAAGTGTCAAAATAGTGCCCTGATTATTTACATGGGATCATCTTAGTCTTATAGTTTATAAAAGTGCCAAATTAGTGCCAAACTTTTTGAATTGGAGCTGAAATAGTCCTTCTCCAGGGGTTATTTTAGCCCATATTAAAAGTGTCTGAGGACTAAATTGATACGGGATCAAAATGACCCCCTCCAAAAGAGAAAATATTGTGTCCGTCATCCGCAGGTGTGGACGACGAATGGCCGGGCGACAGCTTGCCATAGACCTCATACACAAATGAGATGGCCACCGACCATGCCGAGTTGTCACCCGGTCATTTTCTCCCTCCAAATAGTCTATGGACTTTTTTTGACATCTCTCTCTTTCTCTTTTTTTGTATGCACACATCCTTGAGTTCATCCGTAAAAAAATTAAAACTTTGGTACTGTCTTTAATATGCTAATGCTAGCTTCATTTTACATAGATACGCCAATGGAAGCACTGGGAAATTTCCATCCATAAAGAAACTGCTGACAATGGTATTTGCTATCAGCCTTCCTTCCATACTGAATGTGATATATTTCTAATCCGGCTACAGAATTGCGCCACAATTTCTTTTTTTAACAAAAATATTATTCCTTACGATTTTTATTATATTCACGCAGCTTCTACTTCCCCATCAATCACTCATGTTCACCAAACTGAATTCGTTAGGCGCCGTTTTCTTGGCATTGGCAAGGATTCTGTGATCCTAAGTTGGCTGGTAAGTAGTAATATCATGTAAAATTTGCATACATACCACTCAATCCCTATTTATTTATATATCTAACACCTAAACTTGAATTATTACATATATGCCACCTTACCAATCCATGAAAATGTGTATTTCATTTTCTTAGAAATTAAAATAGTGGTATTTTTTATGTGATATGAAGGATTTGGGTGGCATAAATGTTATATGTAAAGTTTAGGTCTTAGTTATGTAAACACATAAGAATTGGGTGGTATGCATGAAAAATGCCCTAATATCATTCTAGCTGTAAGAAGACCTGTATCTTTATTATTTCCAAAATTTATTTCATGCAGTTCAACATTATACCCATACAATGGAGCTTTTTTTAATTACTCTGAGCATTAACCAAGAACATGATGCTACTGAAGATGAATGATACATTTTCGAATGTTTTGATTATTTTTAAATGTGAGAATCAAGATACGGTTTGTGATGTGTCTATTAAGATCTTGATTGTAGCAACTTAGGTGCTGTATAGGATTGCTTTTTGTTTTTGTTTTTGTTTTTATTTCTAAATAATGGTTAAAATGATAATAAATGGGTCTGTTTACTTTTTTTTTTTTACAATTTTATTTTTAGAAACAAACTACTCTGTTTTAAGAAAATGCAAAATGCAACTTTGAATTTTTTTTAATTAATTTTCAAAACATATTTCAAAGAAGCCGCAAGGAGCACTGTAGTGAAACTTAGTCAAAAACACAAAAGGGAAGTAGAATAGGGGAATTCCCTGTCCGCTTGAAGAGCTTTGACTCCACCTCCGACTTGCGTCATTTACCTTTGCAATTAACTTATTCCCATAGTCCACTTGCATCCCCACCTTCTAGATTTCATTATTGCAATTTTTTGTTTTCTTCTAATACTAGTCACATAAAAAACAAACATTTTATTTCATGTTAAAACATAAACAAAATAAAAATAAGTAAAAAAAAATATTACACCAAATGACCCCTTCGTTACTGTAGCCATACATACATTATTGGTTTATTTGTATTTCTGCATTATATCATCTGTGTTCTGTGGAGCTTAAGATGTTGATATGTCTATTTCCATGACTTTTTCAATATTACTTCGATTCTTTTTTCAGCATTCCTTCTTTAAGCAAATATTTGGATCAGTAACAAAATCAGACTACACGACAATGAGACTTGGCTTCATTATGGTAACTACTTTTAAATTATCCTTTTTTTTTTTACTTGGTTGGTTTTTTATGTTGTGGGTTGATGACAGCTCTTACTCTTCTATGATTTTTTCTTAATGTTTGTTAAAATTTTCAATTAATTTTAGGGGCATTTACATACATACCACCCAATTATTATGTATTTACATATCTAACACCTGAATTTTACTTTTTACATTTATACCACCAAAATCCTTCACAATACATAAATAAGACCACCATTTTAACATTTAAAATGTAAAATGCACCTTTTAATGCATAGGTAAGGTGGCATGTATGTAAAAAATGAATTTTAGGTTTTAGATATGCAAATATAGCAGAATTGTGTAGAAAAATATGTAAATTTTTCTTGATTTATTGAAGTTGATATTCTTTATCATGTAGGCTCATTGCAAGGGTAACCGCAAGTTTGATTTTCATAAATACATGGTTCGAGCCCTTGAAGCCGACTTTAAGAAAGTGGTTGGTATCAGGTAATCTTGTTCATAATGCTTTCTTTGAAGGTGAACTCTTCGATCTTTCGTACCAAAGTAGAAGTCACAAATTTTCTTAAAAGGCCATTATGTCATGTTCGGTCATTCAGTGAATTTTTATACAATGATTCCATGAATTCACTATGTTTGGCACATCAAGCTGGATACACTCACAAAAATATCGCTCGACTCTATTTTGTATCATTTAGCTATTTTATTCTTGTTAAAAAACAATTTTTGATAAGCTATAGGAAATCTTTTGGACATAGAGTGGATGCATGTTGGATACAAATTAAGTATGAATGGTTGCACAATTTCAATTAGATGAGAGTTCTATTTTAATTTTAGATTCTGTTGAGAATTGAATCTTATTTAGGTTCCTATTGGTAAAAGGGGAATATTGAAGTAGTCTAGGGGTTTATTTGTAAAACCATTGTAATATTCTATTAAGCCCATGTTATGAATGTACAGGCTTGGTTTATTAAAAATTCTTCCTTTATAGCATCAGAGTCCTAACATAAGTCTTCGTTGCTACTCAATCCAAAGAGTCGGGATCGGTGATCGGGAGACCCGCTCAGTGTGTGCAGGTTCGTCTACGTCTCTCATAAGAAAAGAAGGGATCACATTTGTCGTACCTTTGTGTCGCCACGATCGCAATCGTTGAAACAATATGATTGCCGAAGCAACACGAGATCAAGATATAGTCGTTGTAAGAGCTAGCTGGGAAAAAGACGATCATATCGTTGTGATGCATATGCCTTCACGATAGAAATGCAATTAGAGCTAGCTGAAAAGGCACCGAAGAGATCGCAATAGCTAACTGGGAAGGCAAGGAGGAATGGGGTTGCGCGTGAGGCAGAGGCGTGGAGAGGCTTCGACATAGCCTGCAGCTTGTGCGACTCCTGCGACAAAGGGGGTGTAGACGATTGGATTCGTAGCGATCAAGAGCGTAAGGAGCAGTGTTTTGCGCTGGTTTGTGAGTATGTAGGCTTTGGCTGATTGATTTGCACTCGAGGAAGGAAGTAATAGGCAAAGCTTCGGTGGAACACCAGGGAAATTTTGTTTGAGGATAGGAACGAAGTCGTGTGCAATCTAGACTTGATCCTTATGATTGAGGATGTCAGAAGGAGATAATGCGGGAGGTACAAGATTGAAACTTCTGGAGAAGATGGATCTAGAAGTTCTAAATGTTCTAGTCGAGCTCATACAGAGAGCTAACGTCTTGACGGGAGCCACTACCACATCACGTACTTCGATACAGGTGAAGCTAGATCTCCCTCTTGTGGATCTGAAGCTTGATGGACTGGCCATGTATTTCAGTTGGTTGTGTTGTATTGTTGCTGCTCTAGTAGGGAAAAGACTACAGGGATATATGACGGGAGTTAAGGTTAAGCCAAAGGGTGATAGTGCTGAAGGAGATGAGTGGAGGAACGCACACGCCTTACTTTACTCCTAACTTTTTAGCTTGATGGTTGATGCGCCCCTGATGTGTGCTGTTTTTCTGTGTCTTTTATGTCAATTTAACAATGCAAAAAACTTGACATGTCCCGAAATTATGCAGTAATTTTGAAATGTTATAAAAAATAGAAAATTGTTCACACACTAGTGGTTCTACGCAAGTGCACGCATCTCTTTAAGTAATATAGAGATTTCTTTAAAAACTCCAGTATCGATCCCACAGAGAAGCGATGTAAGAAATCTCTTAGGCTAATTCTAGTATACTACTATCAGTTCCTAGTTTGGAAGGTCGATTTAAGTGATTTTTCTAACAAGTACTCCTAAATGTAAATCTTATGTTTAAAACAAAAAACAACTACTACTAAATAAAAATTTTAATTCTAAAGATAACACTTTCTGGATGAATTGGTTTGAAGAATTTTGAGATGTTAGAAACTACTATTATTTGTAGTGAATTGGATAATGTATATGAATGAGATGCATTAAATATTGTATGTGTCAAATATTAAGAATGAGATGCATTAAATATTGTATGTGCCAAATATTAACAATCTTATTCTTTATCATCTGTCGAGTGCATAAAGAACATTAATTAATCCAAAATTTGGTTCCTAAATCCGTGGTTAGACTGAGAGTATACTGACTCCCATTCCAGAGCTCCCACTTCTCCCTCTCTTGAGGGTTAACAATCTTGCTTTAGTTTCCAAACAACTGAACCAAATTGAGGATTTTAGTCTGTCACCCTAAAATCTCCAATTCTACGCCCATCAAAGTATATTTCTCTATTTATTTGTACTCAACCCATGAACTATATTCTCATCTATGAAATTAAATGTGATTCTTACTTTATTGTAGACAACATAGCTAGACAACATAGCCCTTTCGGATCTTATGTTTCTCAATAAATTTTAACATTACAACAGACTTAAATTGCAATGTAAATGAGATTTAAGTAAAAATTATTACATTTATAATTAAAACACATACTAACATGCATCCCAAAATCCTATACATGAATCCGACTCATTGCAAAAGAAAAGTAAAATGAAAACAACGACATAATCTTTTCATGCGACTATGTCCTAACAAGAAGAAAAGTAAAAAAACTACTCACAAAACATAGATGAAATACAACAGAAAACTTCATTACATCAAAATAAATCAATTAGATAAGTGTTTACAAAGTCATAAGATAATGAAAAACACAACACTTTATTTTTTCCCCTTGAAAGAAGGATTGAAATCTCTCCCATAAAGTTTTCCACTGATCCATGCAATGCTAGTACAATTCTTTACAGCTTCTCTAAAAATCCCCTCTGCAATCTCTCAGAAAAGGGAGAAATATATATTTCTACTCATATTCTAATATCCCTAAGCATTCCTCTTGATTTTCCCCTCATACACACACCTTGATGGGAGGCGTCAACCCACCTATTTTAAAGGGACAAAATTCCATCTTTTTCCCAAAAGACATCTTTTCATTTCAAGAGACAAATCTCTTCATCTAAGAGACATATCTCTTCATTCAAGAGCCTTTCCCAAGTGTCTAAATTCATTGAATCACTTCATTTGGCGTTTGATTTACTTAGAGCCTTATAGAACATCGCAAAATAATAAAAAACCGCCAAAAATTCGTCCATAACCGTCTCTGGTACCTCTGGCACTTGTTCTCTAGATTTTGGCGCCTCTTGCGCATGTTCTCTGGATTTTGGCGCCTCTGGCGCCACCTTACTGCAGCTCCTACGTTTTGCTCTGTTTGACTCCGTTTCAGCTCTGTTTTATCCCGTTTCAATTGTGTTTCGCTCCTGACAGTTATACCTACAAGATAAGCATGAAAACAATATTTCTTTAAAATATGATTTCATTGCACTATTTTTGCTTCCTTTTCTTTAAAAGTCCATTTTTTGAACCTGAAGCCAAAACTATGCAAAATACATTTCTTTAAAGGTAATATCATTTAAAATGAACATAAAATATATATGAAAAAATAGGTAATTTTTAGGCATTGCAATGATTTCGTTGATTGCCTCATCAGTGGATGACATTCGAATGATAAAGGATATCCAGGCAAAGCTGAAGCTATATTGGGACTGAGGGCTACGTGAGAGATGTCGAGTGGAAGACTTACAAGTGCTACAACTGTAGTGAAGTTGGGCATCTAAGCAAGATCTGTCCTAAGCCACCTAAGGAGAAATGGGTGGATCTGGGCAGGGTGGAGATCGTGGTGGTCGAAAAGGTTGAAAAGGGGGCTACCTGTCAAATTTGATGGTAGCAGAAGAGAGATATGTGGTTTTTACCAATGAGGATCATGTGTTTGGAGTTATTGAAGAGAATACAAAAGTTAACAGGAGATGAGACTAAGGATGCTTCCAACCAGTCATCATGAAGGTGTAATATTATCACTTATGCTCACTATGACAAAGTTACATGTGACACATACTTTTTTCTTCGTTTCCACCTCATGATCATTAGAATGATAGTAGATTTTGATGTATCTCGAGGTGTGATATGTACTGTTAGAGAGTTTTCTTTCTGTACTGTCCTAACAGTATCAGAGAAACACAACCTGTAGTTGATAAGGTTGCCGTAAGGGTACTAATTATAGGACTTTGGTCAATATTTTGTATGCTCCTTTTCCAACGAATATTTTATCCGTCAATGTCATTATTCTCCAACTAAAATGTATTATTTTTTCTTTTATATTCTTAAGTTTATCTTCTAAGGGAAAGGGATGAGCTGGACACTTGAGATTGGAACGTGTATGGTGGACGCTGGTACTCAGATTAGTAGGGGATGAACTCAGTTTTGACATCCATGATAAAGAGTGATGGAGTAGGAGAATCTGGGAGGAGTGTGAAGAATATGTTGCTGCTACATCATAGATGCGTGAGACACTCTTATTTTAGTTAATTGAGTCGGTTGGATCATGCTTTGTATAAAAAGACAAATGAATAAAAGCTTATTTGTGATGCTTATGAGTTTGACAAACTTACTTGGAGCTCTTATATCAGTTCTGGGATAGAAGTTTTGGTATTTTTGATCTGATTCATTCTGATATTTATGGACCTTGTTCTTCAAGCTCTATAAATGATAATCGATATTTTGTGACCTTTATTGATTTCTTTTATCGTATTACTTGGTTATATTTAATGAAAAATAAGGTTGATGTATTTTATTGCTTTAAAGACTTCCACTAGGCAATCCAAACTCAACATGGTGCAATAAAAATTTTGAGGTTTGATAATGGGATATAATATACCAAAAAAGCATTTGGGAAATGCTTGTCAGCCCGAGGGATACAGTATCAAACCACATGTTCATACATGAAGAGTATACAACTTCTAGAGGTTACCCTAAGCATGATGATCACAATGAACGCCCCAAACCACTTTTGGGGGTAAACAGTTTTGAGAGCTTCTCAATTGATCAACAGGATGCTATTGAGTGTGTTGAATTGGAAGTCTCCTTATCAGATGTTGATATAAGATATTAGCGGTGTCTTCTAATTGAATGTCTTTGGTTGTGTATGTTTGTGAAAGATAACAAGCCATCAATAGAGAATCCAAATTCCAAAGTTGTGAAATTTGTGTTCGTAGGTTATTATGCTACCCAAAAGGGTATGTTTGCTGGAACCTGATAGAGAAGAGACAGTTTGTAAGCATGAATGCATCATTTAGAGAATTGAACCATACTGCACATAGGAGATGACCTCACCCTTTGGTGACTAGCCAAATACTGAAAATATGAGGTAAGAGGGGTGAATAGCAATGGTGAGAGGGTTGTACATGTGGGAGCAATATTTTGTCTTGTGGTGTGAGATTAATCAGTTGAGGAGCCAAAAAATGAGGAGATTGAACCCGTTGTGGTGGGATTCACAGGCCACGATGGGCTAAGAGAGTATACATGGAAGAAGAAACAGAATGAGAGAATGGTGTCTGCAGTGCCACTTGTGCTAGCTAGTCCCTTGTCCAAGTCTTCCTAATTCTTGAGACACCTACACCGTCCACCGCTGACTCAAAACTCTCAGGTGATATGATCCCTCTTTCTCCTAAACCCAAATTTTAAAGAGAGAGCTCGCACATTAATGTGGGATATCCTCCGGTTAGTTTTGAGTGGAAACATAACATTGATAATTTTGTTTCATATTCTAACATATCATCTTTACATAAATTATTCATTGCATCTTTGGACGTTGTCTCTGTACCCAAGTGTTGGCAGGTTGCTAAAAAAGATCCCAAGTGGAAAGCGACTATGCTATGCATGAAGAGCGAGCTTAGGGCTCTCGATAAAAATCAAACATGGGAGATAGTGCCACTTTGATTAGGTAAAAAAGTAGTTTGGTGCAAGGGGATTTTTATAGTGAAGCAAACTCTAGAAGAGAAAGTTGAGCGGTGCAAAACACAATTGGTGGCGAAATGGTACGGTCAAACATATGAAATTGATTATGATTAAACTTTGCACCAGTAGTAAATATGAGCACAGTGAGAACACTGGTTTCTCTGACAGTAAGTGGTGGGTGGAGATTACACCAACATGATGTGAAAAATGCATTTTTTCATGGTGAGTTATTGAAGGTATATATGGAGATACCACTAGAATTCAGTACATTCTAGACAGTGGGCAAGGTATGTAGGATCAAGAAGTCACTGTATGACTTCAAGCAATCTCCTCGAGTCTGGTTTGACAAGTATAGAAAGACTATGGTTGACATGAGTATCAGCAGATCAATGTAGACCATACAATGTTCTTTCGACAACAAGAAGGTCACACCACCATACTTGCTTGATATATTAATGACATCATTGTCACCGGTGATGATAAATCAGAGACTGTCCAACTAAATGTGAAATTGGGTAATGAATTTGAGGTGAAGGATCTTGAACAACTTAGATACTTTCTTGGAATTTGAGGTGAAGGATGTTGGATGACTTGAGGCGATGTCCTAGTCCTAGAGAAAATATGTGCTAATTTTCCTTACGGAAAGAGACATTCTGGGGTGCGAACATGCAACCTTTTCAAGTAACCAAATGGCCAAACTGAGTGCAGAGGTAAGATAACCAGTTGATTGTGAGAGGTATTAAAGATTGGTTGATCGTTTGATCTATTTGTGTCACACTCGACCCGACATCTCTTTTGCAATGAGTGTGGTGAGCCGCTACATGCATGATCCAATGAAGGGTCATATGGATGCAGTGTATTAGATTTTGAGGTACCTGAAGAGTGCATCAGGAAAGTGATTGATTTTCAAGAAGAATGAGTATGTAGACATTGAGGGCTTTTGTGACACAGACTAGACGAATTGTGTAGATGACAGAAGCTCCACCTCAGGATACTGCATGTTCGTAGGGGGCAACTTGGTCTCTTGAAAGAGCAAGAAACAATTTGTAGTAGTGAGGTCAATAGCATAGGGGGAGTACAGGGTCATGGCTTTGGGAGTTGCCAAGATGATGTGACTAAGAGCCTTGTTGATCGAGCTCAAGGTTGACCAAGAAACTCAAATGAAGTTGTGATGCGACAACAAGTCAACAATCAACATTGCTAACAATCCGGTGCAACACGATTGAACCAAAAATATGGAGATTGATAGCTTCTTCATCAAGGAAAGGCTAAATAACGGGCTGCTGGAGTTGAGTTATGTAGTCACTGGAGAGCAAGTTGTGGGCTGCTCACTAAAGGACTTCGTTCATTAGATTTGTCTATGTCATGTGAGAAGATGGGCTTAGTGGATATCTTTTGCCTATTTTGAGGGGGAGTGTTGAGAATTGGATCTTATTTTGGGTCCTATTGGTAAAAGGGAAATATTGAAGAATTCTGAAGATTTATTTGTAAAACTATTGCAATACCCAATTTAATCCCGAACGTACAGTTTAGGTTTTCTAAAAACTTCTTTCTTTAGATTCTCACACTTGTTTTTTTTTTATATAATTCTATATGGTCGTGAGCAGATATATTCCTAAGCTTTATGCTTTACAATATGATAGCTAATATTACATGTTTTGTGGAATGTAAAAATGTTTGTTACGAAAAGTTAAACCTTTAGTGTTAATCACGTGCACTAGGTGCATTTTTTTCATTGTCTAAATATTTTTAGGTCACTCTTCCCATGGCTATTACCTGTTTGTTGTCCATGCTTTATATGTTTACAATTTAATTTTGGAAGATTTAAGGAGATACCTCTCAATTTTTATGTATTTACATATCTTCTTCCTAAACTTCAATTTTTACATACATACCACATTCCGTATGCATGGAATGCTGTATGTTACTTTTTAGAAGTTAAAATGGTGGTATTTTTTATGTGATATGAAATGTTTGGGTGTTATAATGTAAATGTAAAAGTTAAAGTTTAGGTGTTAGATATGTAAATATGTAACAATTAGGTAATATGTATGTAAATGGCCCTTTAATTTTTATCATCTAGGATGGTACAGAGTATGTAATTATAAGGTTTAGTATTGCAATACTGGAAGATTATTATTTTGTCCCCTATGAAGCTTATGTGATCCTTATACTTGTGGTTCTATTTCCCTGCAGTTGGTATCTCTGGATTTTTGTGGTTATTTTCTTGTTGCTGAATGTTGGAGGTATGCCCAACCTAAGGCTATCCCATTACATTTTATGTCACAACATGATAGAAAAAAATTGTATACGGTGCTGATGATACAAATATTCATCACGAGTGCATGCTATTTAATCGATAACGGGTCATTTTGTTAAAGTTTCAAGACTGTCAAATTTTGTCTTAAGAAAAATAATGATTTTCTGTGTTGCCTCCTATTTCAAAATACTTATCTTTAACTATTTCTCTAAATTCTTTTTATAAATTTATTTTAGTTTTTATAAAATGTGCTGCTATTTTGATCTAATGTCCTGCCTCTCCAATGCGGTGTGAGGAGCTCCTGTTAAAATTTTCTTCTTATCATGATTTTCTTTTATGTTAATAAACTGAAGGTTATATTTGACAAATTGCCAGTTGCTCTTACTATTTATTGAAATGCAGTTATAATATAATTTTATTTTTGAAGGTGTAATAATGATTCCTGCATACCGTAGTTGATCCTGATTGTTAATTATATCATGAGAAAACTGCCTTGTTGATGGGAAATAAGTTCGACATCAGAAAAAAAGTATTAATTATAAAATAATTTCATTCAGAAACTCGATCATATCATGGTAAGCAGCATAGATAGGGGTAAGTCGACAAACCACCTCTTTTATTCTTAGAATGTTTTTGTAAGCCCATGCGTAGCTAAACCGTTATGCCGCACAGGGGACAATCTCACTTTTGTTGATCTTATTACAGTATGAAAAGCAAAAAGTGGACGATTTACTATGTATACATATGCTGAAAAATGGATGGAATCAAGTGGTTGTCTGATTTCAATGATAATATAGTGTCTATATATAACATGATACATGCTCTGAATTAATTTCCAATATGGTGATAATTATGCTCTATCATTTAATAAACTGCAATCATTAACAAATAATTTTGTATCTCTTTATGAACCATGTTCAAACCAATCTCACCTCATTAATATATGACTCAGTAGTCATTTAATTATATATAGCCAAACACCTAAAATTGAGATAGTAAACATCAACTCAATGAAACCTAATGATTTCCTGCAGAGTCATTACAATGTGGGTTTGTCAACTTGACTAGTACATATCCAAAAGGGTTCTACTGAGCTACATATCACTGCATGATTATCGCATGAAAGAAATCTAAGATAATTAACAAAAGTAACGTGCATGAAAGTAAAAACTATTACTACAAAATTTAATCTAATATACAAGAATCTGTGTAGTGATAAAATATGATAAGGTATTATTTCATTATGAATAATAAAGGAGCCATACGTCATGAGTATAGTAATATAACAAAACACAGTGACAAAACTAACAAACATACACTATAACTAGGAATCTAATACAAGCAACTAGGGACAACAAGAGGTATGTTTATCCTGTAATACAATAGTTACTTCGAGGTGAGTGATACAACATGCTAACTATTCATGAATGATGCTAGATGAAAATCTACTCGAAGTTCCTAAGCATAAAGAATTTGGAGTCAATTGCACAGTCTCTAATGAGCATGAAAAATTAAAGCTATCTAAGCTGAAAAACTCATCGCAGTCAATCCGAATTAATTATTATTTGTATAAGCAGTGGACTTATTATTGCCAATCTACAGTACAAATTCTCTTGATTTAATATTAGCAACTAAAATTATGCATACAATTAATGATAACTTATTATTCTAACCTAAAATGATTAGCTTTTTTATTTTCAATAAATTAGGTATTTTGTGTGCTAAGGATTAGGTCTCACCTGGAGAAATAGGAGAAAGGCTTTTGATAGGCAGTCAATTGGCCGGAACTTATCAATCAGAAAAAAATGAAATCAGACAGAATAAAGAGTTTCCTTTTTCGCAATACCACAAAGAAGTAAATATTATATTTGCACAGGATCTTTAGCTGAATATTTAGATTAGGAATATGTATTAATTAAGTTACCTAAAATAGATTATACAGAGTATTATATACCTAAAATAGATTGTACAGACTATTATTTATTGGAATGAAAGCAATGGAAAATGCATTCAGTCTATTTGCTCAAAATATTGACATGGTATCAGAGCCACGTCAAATATTTAAGATCTGAATCTTTGGAGTGGGTTGCTTTGCCTGGAGAGATCGTCTTGTTCGCCTAAAACATCGTATGCCCTAACTACTGCCTCTATGTCGCTCGATTGCTCATCTGTTTGACTGCCCGAACTGCCGCTGGACTGCTCGATTTGTTCAACTGTCGCTCGATTGCCGCTCGATCTGTTCGTGTTCGACTGCCGCTCGACCGCTTAACTGCTTCGTGCACTTCATCCGCCTCAACCACATCTGTTCCCATCCACTTGGCTCACTTCGTCTACTTCTCCTCCGATTGCATTAGCTGTATCTTAGACTTTGGTATAGTCGACATATTTCAGTGTCGATATACTTCCTAGATCCTCGTACTCAAGGATCGTGGGCTTTAGCTTTGGCTTCGGACTCCTCTCCTAATTTTAGGCAGTGCACGATTCTTTGAATCTCTTAGGTTGATTTAGATCAACGATTGAGATTTTTTTGGATATTTTGGCTTTCTTTTATTTCTGATTGATATCAATCAACGACAATTTTATTTAGAATGTCTTCTGAAATCTTAGCTATCAGATTCACGAGAAAGAGTTATGTCGTATGAGAATTTCAGTTCAGAATGTTCTTAAATGGAAAGGAGCTTTGGGGCCATATGGATGAGTCTTCTCCAGCACCTACTGAGGCTAAAGATCTTGGTCAATGGGAAGCAAATGATGCTTGGATTGTTTCCTGGATTTTGGGATCTATTGAGGCTCATATGGTGAACAATTTACGATCCTTTGGTACAACTAATGAAATGTAAAAATACTTGAAGTGCGTTTATAATCAAGGTAATTCTGCAAAACGCTTATAATTGGAACTTGACTTGAGTAATTATAGTTAAAATCTTTCAATTGAAAAATATTATTTTGGCTTTCTAAATTTATGGAGCGAATATACTGGCATTATCTATGCTAAGGTGTCAAAGGAGAACTTAACTAATTTTCAAGCTATTCATGAAAAAAGTCGTCGTGATCAGTTTTTAGTGAAACTCAGACCTCAATTTGAAACTGCTCAAGCTGGGTTGTTGAACATAGATCTAGTTCCTTGTTTGGATGTTTGTTTTGGGCAATTACTGCGCGAAGAACAAAGATTGGCGACACAAACTATTGTCAATACAACATGTGAATCATCAGAAATAATTAATATGGCATATGCTGCTAAGACCAAAGGGAAGTGACCAGTGCAGTGCTAGCTGCAAGAAATTTGGTCATGTTGCGCGGAATTGTTAAAATAAGGTATGCACTTATTGCAAACAAAATGAACATATTCTTAAGGAGTGCCCTACACACACGACCCCAAAACCGTAAACCACAAGCACTTCATGCTACGGTATCCAACACTCACAATCCTGGCTTGACATCCACAGTTACTGGCAATATTCAACCTTCATACCAGATATGGTTCAACAAATGATTCTCTTTGTCTTTTGTGCTCTCGGCTTTCAAGGGAAATGTAAAACTATTACTTCCATTTTTTCTTTTTGGTTTGTTGATTCAGACGTCACAAATCATATGACTGACACAGCTGATTTATTGCATAACCAAACAGTCGTACACTGATACTCAGCATATTCAGGTGGCTGATGGAAATAATATTCCAACTATGACAATTGGTGATATTAACTCCTCCTTCAGACATGTCTTGGTTTCTCTTAAATTATATACTGACTTACTCTCTGGTGGTCAAATATTGGATAATAACTGTGACGTACATCTTTCTCGTGATAGTTGTATTGTGCAGGATTAGATGTTGGGGAAGATGATAGCGAAGTGGTCTAAAGTGGGCAGACTATTTCCATTACAATTTATTGTTCTTGAGAATATTTCATTAGCTTCTTCTGTTGTTGAGAATAAGACAGACATTTGATATAAAAGATAAGGTCATCCAAATGATATAGTGTTTAAGTATTTTCTTAAAAGTGATGTTTTTTATTCTACAGATAAGAGTTTAGTAGTTGACTGTTTTGTTTGTAAACTTTGAAAAAGTTAGACATTATCTTTCTTTATTTCAGACAATCGTGCCAATAAATGTTTTGTAATTATTCATAGTGATATTTGGAGAATTACACAAGTTATTTCACATGCTCAATATAGATATTTTGTGACATTTATTGATGCTTACAGTCAATTTACTTGGATCTATTTTTAGCAGAAGTATTTACTTTATTTCAAACATTTTTAGCATATGTTGAAACTCATATGTTGAAACTCAGTTCTCCGTCAGTTCTCCGCTTGCATTAAAACCTTACGGTCTGACAATAACGGTGAATAGATGTCTCATGAGTTTCAAGCGTTTCTCTATAATAAATGTATTATTTTACAACATTCATGTGCCTATACACCGCAACAAAATAGAGTTGTTGAACAAAAAAATTGGCATCTATTGGATACTGTGTGCACATTACTGATAGAATATTCTATTCCTGTTAAATTTTGGACTGAAGCTTTATCTACAACAATTTATCTCATTAATCATTTACCATCTCAATAAGTGAAGTATGAGTCTCCCTATTATCAAATTTTTGATAAACATCCTAATTATTATATGCTACATACTTTAAGATGTGTTTGCTTCGTTCATCTACCTGCTCATGAACATCATAAGTTGACAACTCAATCAGTACGATGTGCCTTTATGGGATACAGTCTTAATCATAAAGATTTTGTGTGTTATAATTCGATTAATAGTCGATGACATATTTCTCGAAATGTGATTTTCTTTGAACATTAATATTACTTTCAGCATCATGTGTCGACTCCATATATAATTATACTTTCACAATTTGATAATTCTTCTGTTGATAAACGAATCAAGTTGGACATTGTCTACACATGACGCCTGCCCCCTTCACCTTCAATCTTCCCCGACCCTGATCCAGAAATTGCTCCAATAAGTATTCGACGATC